TGTCAAATGCCGGTAGTAGCAATAGGAGCATTGGTAACCATTTCAATGTTAATCGCACCGTCATTGTCAGATTTTTACAACGTCATATTGACACAGGAACTGTGAATGATAGATCAAGGTCCTGTGTCCGGAAGACCCCGTTTAACTACCTATCTTGATGACAGACTACTTATTGGTCGTGCTAAAGCCAACCCATTTACTCCTACCCCATAGCTTAGACACCACTGGCCTCCAGGTAGTCGTGTTAGTGTTCGAACATTGGTCCGTCAACTTCATAGAGGCTACCCAAGAGCACGTCGTGTTGTCAAAAGACGTGCCCTAACAGCCAGGCACCGTATAATCAGGTTTCAAAGGGCTAATGACCATCGACGATGGAACATGAGAACCTGGCAAAATATTCATTGGTCAGATGAGAGTTGGTTTCTGTTACGACCAATAGACGGCAGAATACGAGTTTGGTGGGGAAATAAAACTGCCTATCACCAAAACAACAATTGCCCAACGACAGCAATCTTTGTTGGTGGTGTTACAGTATGGGGTTTCTTCTCATACTGTTGTAAGGTGGTTATGCATATTTTGCAGGGTACTAGTAACATGAACAGACAGACATATAGGGATTTGGTGCTTAGAAACATTGTAGTCCCTCATTTTGAGAATCCCCAACTTGCGTCAAGACCCTCGTACATGGACGACAACGCTAGACCACACAGGGCAAGGATTGTCGATTACAAAGATCAAGAAGCCATTGACACTATCTTTTGGCCTTCCATGTCTCCAGACCTGAACCCTATCGAACATGTCTGAGATGCCATTGGCAGAAAACCAATCGCAGAGATCCACCTTTGCAAAATCATGGCGATTTAAGAGGGGCAATTGTTGATGAATGGAATAAATTTGCTCAACTAAAGTTCAGAAGGCTTGTACAGAGTATGAGACGCCGTGTTGTGGAACTGTACCGGAAGAGAGGTGGTTACACGTCCTATTGACTTAAATATTGACACTAAATTTGCCGAACATACCAAAGATTATTTGTAGAGACTTTTAATGATTTTGGGTGATTAATTGTTGTAAAAAAATAAAATCAAAGTAAAACTTAAATTCCGTTTCTGATTTGTGTAATTTTCACTATTTCTATGAACGCAAAATTCAAATGCATAGAACTTGCATCAGTGACCAAACTTAAGTTTATGGTTTGTTTATGGCATATGTTAGCGAAATTGCTACATGAATATTTTCTCTTTTTCGAGGATTAACTGGTTTTTTTAAAGGAAAGAAATTTCGATGCAACAAAGATAGGTGGTGCTTAACTTTTGGCGGACTGTATATTAAATGCAAAAAATTGTAAATATTCTTTCAGATATATAGTAATATACTGGATTTTCCCCATGTAAATTCAACACAATTTGGTAGGAATTTTTACATTTGCAGCTGCTACTCTGTGGAACAGCCTATCCGCCCATTTCAGGACTGAAAATAGTTTTTTTTTTATAATTCAAGAGCCCTATGCAGTCCTAGAATGGATCAGAATGTCGTTGTGCTGCATGTAAATAAGCTTTTCGTGTATTTTAGTTATAGCGCTTAATGTTTGTATTTTGGATGTGTGATTTAATTTTTAGTTGTGCTTCGAATTAGTTTTGCTGAAAAGTTAGTTGTGCTTTAATTTAAGTTATGCTTCAGTTTTAGAATGTTTAGATGTGTAGTTTAGTAGTGTCAACAAAAAAACTACTAATCTAGCTGTGCTAGCTGAGTTGGGGCAGTTTCCAATTTAACTTGTAACATCTATTTCTATGTATTGGCATAAAGTGGAATCAAAACCAAGCAGTTTGATTGAGTCAGCATATGCAGAATATAAACTTTTACATGATAAAAATATATTATCACGATATACTACTGTACAAGTGCTTGCAGATAAACTAAAGATAAATTTGGCAGTTGTTAAAAATATGGACAAGGAAAATTCAGAATAAATATTAAATAAAATGCTCCGCAGCTTGATACGACCGCAGAAGTCGAACCCTGAACAGTTGGGGCAAGTATGGACACAACATTCAAGCTTGATACAGCACTGAATTTGGATTGTGATTAAATATTTGACACAGCATAAGTTTCTGACACAGAATGAATGTGGTCTAAGAACTTAAAAATTTTTAATTTACCTATTCAAACCATATCATTATTATTTGCTTTTATATATAAATCAGAAATAACCAATTTAAAATGGGAAATTTTAAAGAAAAAAAAGGAAAAAAAAATCCGCCCCCCCCCCCAATTTTTTGAACCCCTTTATGATTCATCACCCCCAAACTCAATCCCAGCCTTCCCTTAGTGGTATGGTACCTTGCAGTACAATTTCAGAGAGATCCATACACTTGAACACAAGTTATTGTCTGGAAACTAGAAAAATGCTTGTTTTTTGGCCCCTTTTTGGCCCCTTATTCCTAAACATTTTGAGAAATTACCCCCAAACTCAATTCCAGCTTGTCCTATGTGATATGGAACCTTGTAGTACAATTTCAGACAGATCCATACACTTACACACAAGTTATTGTCATGAAACTAGAAAAATGCTTGTTTTTTGCCCCTTTTTTGGCCCCTTATTCCTAAAATTTTGAGGCAATTACCCCCATAATCAATCCCAGCCTTCCCTTTGTGGTATAGTACCTTGCAGTACAATTTCAGAGAGATCCATACACTTGAACACAAGTTATTGTCTGGAAACTAGAAAAATGCTTATTTTTGGCCATTTTGGCCCCTTATTCCTAAACGTTTTGGGCAATTACCCCCAAACTCAATCCCAGCCTTCCCTTTGTGGTATGGCACCTTGCATTACAATTTCAGAGAGATCCATACACTTGAACACAAGTTATTGTCTGGAAACTAGAAAAATGCTTGTTTTTTGGCCCCTTTTTGGCCCCTTTTTCCTAAACGTTTTGGGCAATTACCCCCAAACTCAATTCCAGCTTTTCCTTTGTGATATGGAACCTTGTAGTACAATTTCAGAAAGATCTATACACTTACACACAAGTTATTGTCATGAAACTAGAAAAATGCTTGTTTTTTGCCCCTTTTTTGGCCCCTAATTCCTAAAATTTTGAGGCTATTACCCCCAAAATCAATCCCAGCATTCCCTTTGTGATATGGAACCTTGTGGTACAATGTCAGAGAGATCCATACACTAACACACAAGTTATGTCTGGAAGTTACAAAAATGCTCATTTTTGGCCCGTTTTTGGCCCCTAATTCCTTAACTGTTGGTACCATAACCCAAAATCAATCGCAACCTTCCTTTTGTGGTATTGAACCTTGTGGTAAAATTTTATAGAGATCCATTCACTTAAACTAAAGTTAGAGTGCGAAAACCAATGTGTCTTCGGACGACGACGACAACGACGACAAAGCCCGCCGGACGACGACGACGACGACGACGCCAACGTCATACCAATATACGACCACAAAAATTTTTTGCGGTCGTATAAAAATGCCTGAAAGAAAATTATCTAAAATTTTTGGAACACAAAAAAGAGTCGGGCTTGAACTCTGGTAAACTTACCACATTTTATAGATTAAAAACTAGATTCCGACGAGAAGCCTATTTAAATGCCTTGGATTTTAAACCTCGTAATATTGTAACCAGATTTAGATTAAGTCGTATAGAAACTGGGCGATACGAAAAAAAGAAAATAAATGAACAATTAGTGCCACTAAAAAGAGAAAATCGATTATGTACTCATTGTACATTAGGGAGCTACCATTTGATTTTTATGGGAGGGCTAAAAAAAAAAAAGGCAGGACAGGAGTTTTGAGTAAAAAAAAAAGCAGGATGAGCAACTTGGCAAAAAAAAAAGGCAGGACCGAATAGAGTGAAAAATAAAAAGGCAGGACAGAGATTACAACTAAAAAAAAAGGCAGGACAAAATTTTTCATCCTAGCCCCCCCCCCCCCCCCCCCCATAAAAATCAAATGGTAGTTCCCTTATACGAAGTTGAGAATGAACAACATTTTATGCTCGAATGTCCACTCTATGCCAATGAACGTCTACAAATGACAAATAAAATTGTTCAATTATGTCAAAACTATTTATTGTTAAACAACTGGCAAAAATTTTTATTGGCTTTTCAATAATGAAGACAAAACCATTTTATGTATACTTGCAAATTTCATGCAAACTAATTATGAAATAAGAAACCAGGACATTCTTTAAATAAATATTTACATATTATTTCTATAAACATTTTGTATTATGACATCATACAAAAGATTTAAACTGTACTTAAATCTTTTAATATAACTACTAAAATAACATCATATGTCAGAACATAGTTTATATTTTTGCTACCTCTATATGGATCATTATATTCTCATAACATGTATGTATCTGTATGCCCCACAAGGGCTCCGAATTGGAAATAAAATATGTTTAATGTTTAATGTTTAAGTAGAGCTTTGCATGTATTTCAATATGTCTGTGCTGTATCAATGCATTGTACTATATGCTGCTTATATATTATCTGCATGTTCTCTGTTTTATGTTATGAATATGTTATTTATATTCGATATGTTTGTACTGTTATATGTGAACCTAATCAAAATAAAACTTTCGTATTATAGTATTCGTATATGTTACAAACTAATATGTAATGATACACCAGTTGATATGTTCTTTAATGGAGCATAAATGATCGGAGGGTCGATTTTGGTCTTGTCCAGTATGGTACTTAAAGACCTTCAACAAAATGGTGGGCTTTAAATCTTTCCGGTTTTCATTTATTTTCGGGATTTTTCGTAATACGTTATAAAGGATATTACAATGTCTCGCAAATTTTTATTAACAAAATTTGTAATTTAAAAAATTGTAAGTCGGTGTTCTCAACTGCAGAGGTACGATAAGAAGTCAATAAAGAAGATAGAAAGGTTGGGTGCTGTGGTGAATTATGTCGATTAACGATTTCTACACAGTGTTCAGACAACTATAAAGCTGGTAATGTTAAGAAATATCTTACCGCTTCATATACTCCTGCTGTTGCCCTCTTCTTGACGTGCCCTGAGAAACATCGAAATACGTAATGACGGAATGTTTTATGGAGAAAGCAATATACAATTGGATTTGTTACACAGTGCATATGGCCTATCAAAAGTGTGTAGCTCAGTATGTCAATGTTGCTTACGTCAGACTGGAAGTCTAAATACGTACTGACAATAAAATATGGCGTCCAACACATAATAAATACAACTGCTATAGCAATACATAATTTAGCTAATCTCCGTCGATTTAGAGTCAGATTTCGCATACTTCTTTCGCGTTCACTACTTGTTTGTCCACTCCTTCTAGTAATTGGCCTTTCTGCACTTAATTTCCTGTCTGGGACCCATAACTTCTTTCCCATCAAGAAATATGCCACAAGAAGCGTAGAACTTGGAATAACAAAGATTAGAACCAATAAAATGATGTCATAAATCTGTCGGTGCAAATTATTTTCCCAGTTTTCTGAGCAAAACGTTACAAAATCACCGGGTATTATTTCGGTTGTAACCGTAGACCTAACAAACAGCATAGGTATAGCCAATAAAAGTGAAATAATCCATATAACTACGACGACAATTCGGACATATTTTGTTGTCCTAATGTGTCTGTATTTAACCGGATGTCGTATTGCTAGACATCTATCTAAACTCATACTCGTTATTGTTAATATGCTGGCTGTTATGGCTACACCTGAAATAAACATAATATTTTAAATTATGAAGTAATAAGATAATCAACTGTTTTTTACACAGTCCTTGACCTTTGTAAACTATATTAAATTTCACTTCCGTTAGTTTTAATGAAATGAGGGAAATAATTCCATGTCTGGTTGAAAAAGGGACTTTTAAAATTTGATGCCTCTGTTTGATATAAATGAAAAAAATCCTTTAGAAACAAAGGTTTTAACTCCCTCAAGCAAAGTTAGCCATACATTAATTTGACAATTATTTTAAGGTTCCTGTTGGTGATATAGATTATAACGTTCCTACGTATTTTTACTTCACTGGCGTTCACGTGTTTAGGTTTGAGCGTTCCTGATGATGGTAAATCCAGAAAACGCTTCGGACGCGCCAAATTCATAAATAGTTATCTAGAATTATTAAGAGAAATTAAACTATTTTTAAAACGTCATAAATGGGCATGTATCAAAGCAAAAATTCCTTACCAACATACCATAATTTTACGTGAAACAAAATCAATTAGTCCGCGTTTACATTGAGCTAAACTCGGTGTGGTGTACTCGACACTTAAAACTAAATTCTATTACGTGTACATGTTGTTACTGTCATGTAAAGGTAATTACATGTGAAACCAGTGTTCAATACATGAAACTAATTGTAAACAGGTTTGTACGACTTTGCCCCCAGCAGAGCTATAGAAAAACAGTACATTAACGGGTGTTACACGGACACTTTTTAGATGATACACGGACACTTTTTAGTTGTTACACGGACACTTTTTATGAATAGAATCACTCGTACATGATCAGTGAGTTCATGAGCACTTTAAATTTCAATTAGATTTGAACTTTTTGTTTCACCGACATATTTCCTGTCTTTTTTTATTAACGTTGGCATCAAAAACTATATTTTTTCAAACAATTCCAGTATATTACTATTCATATCAGTACACTAAGGAATTCAAAAGGGGGGTTATGGTTTTTTCCTAAAAAAATATTCTGATCTCAAATTTTGTGAAAAAAAATATATTGTGGTCAAGCAGATGACAAAATAATGTTCTGATTCCTGATTTTCCGAATACCGTATATAATAGTGCTTATTTCGAAAAAAAATATTTGGGTGATAGCGTTGAAAAACTAAATAATGTTCTTACTCAGAAAAAAACATACCCCCCCCCCCCTTTTGAAGCTAAATGGTCGGTTCGTAAATGTTTTTTTCTTCTTCAATATATGGACATGAATAGTATTCTGGACAATGCTGAAAGTAAAGAAATGCAGGGACCGACGTTTATATTTCAATAAAAAAGACAGGAAATATATATAAAAAATCAAATCTAATCAAAAGATAAAATCCCTATCAACTCACCAGTGCACGATTGATCTTATAAATAAAAAGGGTCCGTGTAATACATGTTCAAATAGGCAGCCAATTTTGAAGAAAATCATTCAACTTATGACTCCAATTTTGGACGGTAAGTTGCGATTGGATCATATTGTGACACGTGTTCAATTCTGATCAACACTATTAGAGACATTTAAAAACCTATAAGCATGAAATTTAAAAAGAAAATCCAAAATATATGCCTATATATATCTAATAACAAGACAAATTTAAATCCATTTTTTCATAACATTTCATTCACTAATGAAATAGGAAATTCATTCTTTTTATACATTTATATTGTTATTGAATTAATATCTATTGAATTCATATATATTGAATTCATATATTTGGGAGCAAACGTTCGATTTTTATTATTTTTCAAGGGGGAATGGGGGAATGGAATGGCACATCCTGCATTTTTTCAACAAAGAAAGGATCAAGCCTGTTTATTTATTTATCCCTCCCCCCCTTTTCCGTTTTTCCCCCAAAAAAATCAAATTTTAGCTTGCTTAAATTTTCCTCTGAAATCTTTTTCATACATTACTTACTTGCGAAGTTGCATTTTAAAAAGTCTCAAATGTGTACGACATTCATCCTTTACTTTACATGGTTCTTTTTTTTTATTATTATTAGATTCTTGAATTTCTTAAGAAAAAACTCTCGGCTGCAGGGAAGTGAAAAAAGTTTGTTTAACCTGTAACTTACATTAACTGGTATACCGCCATTTAAGTTTCTAATCTGTTTAATTTTGCTAACTCGACTAAATGCAAAATGTACTACTTCTTTCTTGAAACGTCGTACAAGTCAGATACAAAACAAAGGTAACAAAAAAAACAGGCCGGAAACAAACTGTCGTATAGTTTGTCTGCACTTGTAGTCAGGTCAAGGTCCTCGGCTATCGCCTCAGACCTTCACCTGACTACTCGTGCAGAAAAACTATCCGACAATGGTTGTAACCGGCCTGTTTCTTTGTTACCTTTGTATTGTATCCAATACGTACAGTGTACGCGACGTTTGGTGTGAACACGGCCTTAGTCTGTCTAAAAGGGTGTCGTTCAATGCGAATCTGGCAAATATTATTTCATATATTTTATCCTCTGGAGAAGCTCGAATAATGGCTATTAAAATTATTTTAAAATAACTTATAGAAGAAGTACGTCTATAAATGTATGTTTCGTGTATAATATTAGATAATATATAAACCACGTGTTTTTAAATTTTATTAAATTTGAATCAACAAACAGTAATACTTTTACTGACATTTAAAACTTCTGAGTGCGTAAGAAAGTATTAACATTATATTTGATTCAAACATTATATACACCACGCATTTTCAAGAAATGTAATTAAATATATCGGTTTTCATTTGATTGACATTTGCTTTCATGGGTTAAATCTCAAAGGGGTCATTTGTTACAATATTGTAACATGTTTTTATTTGGAACTTTTGTTTTTATCAAACATCCTTACACATGCATACGTCAAGTAGAATTGTTTAATTTGTTGAGAATTAAAACTCCCGATTCCAATTCTGAATAAAAGGTTATGCTAGGCATTCAGCATGACACAACTACAAAATGTCGAATTCCAGTATTCACTTTTTTTAAACAGCACAGCAAAGTATTTGCTGTAGACAGTTTATAGATATTCAAATGCATTTGTGCCGTGTAAAAGTTTGTGCTGCGCAAAAGTGAGATTGCCCGATTATTAACTTAGTCGGTGTTATATTATGCCCAATGTGATGCATTTAAGGAATGACTGTGATATTTTTTCTGTCTATTAAGATATAACATCAAATTGTGGTGCACACCGAATAACCCGTGTGGCGGGTTATTTAAAAGTGTGCACCACATTTTTGAGGTTATTTCGAATAGACAGAAAAAAAATTACTGTCTTTTCTTATAATTTAATTCTAAATTCCATTTTTAAGGAGTAAATCATGAAAAAAACGTTGATAACGTCACGGTCACATGACTGAATTATGTCTATGAGCTGATAGACAAAAAAACTTTCAGCTAATCAGAAGACGTGTTACATCCAAAATTAAATCATAATGAAATGAACTTTACAAAAAAATATATCCCCAACATTGAATGAAATAAATAAATAAAAATATACTTTCTCGTAACGTAACGGTTCATGCTGTTGAAACCTTCAAGTTTAATAAATTGTTTTCCCTTTTTGAATATTGGTCAGATAAGCTAACATTGACATCTTAATTAAAAGGGCATTAGCTGTCAAATTCATGTTCACTGATTTGACTCAAATCTTCATATTTGATTTATAACATACAAAAAATTATATCCAAATTACAAAAAGTCTAGAATAAATAATTGAAAGTGCTTGGATTGTCAACGTATATTTGTTCCGCCTAACAGAAGTTCCATTGGGAACTTTGTTATAAACAATGTCATAATATCTGTTCCTGTTGGAACAAATATTCTATACCATTTATTCCGTTAGGAACATTTACTGTTATATTTATTCCAGTGGAAATAATATTCCAGAATATTGTTTCTATTTGGAACTTATATTATGAAGGAGCTTCTATTCCATGACAGGACTCGATAATATGTATCAGCATTTCGTTTGTATTTGAGTCTAGAAGCTATCTAATTAACCATCAAAATGACCTCCGAAGACTGCTGACCGTCATATAACCCGATATAAACATAGATATAAATATAAATAGATAGCGAGCACGTGCAATTGGATTTTTCTAGGTCTGTTTGATTTCATATTATAGGTTAAAACAAACTGTTAATCATCGTTTTTACCTGAATAAGAATGATTTTTTGTGGATTGAATCAGTCAACCATAAATAGTTCATCCTTGTTTCACTTTTAAAGTTGACATTCTTGTCGTTTTGATAGCTGAACTTGCCTAGTACATGCGTAACCCATCTCTAGCTAAGGAATTAAATTGAAGTACACATGAATACGGAATCAATGAGGGCAAGTCAATAATACATCAGCGATGTTTTTGTGCTTATTTTGACAAATTTGGGCCAAACTGACTGCTTATAACGAAATTTTATTTAAAAATTCCGCTTTTATTAATACTTGAAACAAAAAAGAATCGTATTTTAAATGTGTGTCTAAATCTAATGTGTCTAATGCCCTTTTAACAAAAAAAAAAACAAATATAAAAACAGAAAATCCTTTGATACAAAATTTACCACAAGAATTGGCAAAAATTGTATCAAATTGGCATCATCATGAATGCGTAGCGGTGGAAAACTTTTTAATTTTATGGCTGTTGTAAAATTATCGTAGAAAATTATTAAGACTCTTGAATATTTAAAGGAGAAGGTATGATGAGATCGGTACATGTGACACTCGATTTCTGTCTTTCAGTGAAACAAAAGAAGAAGAATCAACTCAGATGACTTGTATTTTGTCACTGCTCTACCATATAGGTTAATGTGCCTCTGTTTAACCATATAGGTTAATGTGCCTCTGTTTGACCATATAGGTTAATGTGCCTCTGTTTGACCATATAGGTTAATGTGCCTCTGTTTGACCATATAGGTTAATGTGCCTCTGTTTGACCATATAGGTTAATGTGCCTCTGTTTGACCATATAGGTTAATGTGCCTCTGTTTGACCATATAGGTTAATGTGCCTC